TGGTCCCCATGATGCAGCAGGGCTGTACGATCATCACCATCTACCCGGTGTTGAGAACCAGCGCGCAGAGACGTCAAAAGGCCGAAGCTCTGCTTGCTAAACCAAAGTATCCTCTCGAAACTCGCAACTGCGTGTTCCTGTACCTGCACTGGCGCACGGCGACGCGGAACATGATGCTGCTCAAGCATTTGCTCGTTGAATTTATGTTGCATTGCGAGAAGACGTTGCTGGAGTTCGTAGAAAGAGGATGCCAAGTGATCAGTGTCATTCCGTTTGAACTGCCCCAAATGGTACCATTGGAACAACCCTCGCCGTCTCCAGCGTTGCAGGACTCTCCTCGGTCTGTGGACGCTACAACAGCTCAGCAACACGCAGAGTCGGAGGCGGTGGAGTCAACCTCTTCGGCTTCACCCTCCGCTATAAGCGGTAGCGGCGATGTAGCTGCGCCATTGATCGTCCAACAGAAATCGAGAGGGAAGCAGAGGAAGCGAAAGACTGGCAAGACGGCACTACAAGCAGCAGCTTTAACAGCAATGAAGCTGATGGAATCTAGTTTGACTGATTCTGAAAAGCCTCAGAAGCGCAAGCAAGGAAGAAAGCGCAAATGTGAACGGAAAACCAGTGAGAGGATTGAAGAGAAGCCGAAAAGAGGCAAGCCGGGCTTGAGTGAGGCAGAGTATCGCAGCCAAGTGGAATTATCTAAAAAGATGGAGGACTTCGAGGCTCAAATTCCGTGGGGAACAGTCTATTTCAACGTACCACCTCCGTTTGACAAAGCAAAACACCCTGTACTTGCATTAAAGTTTCGCAAGTTTTGGCTCAACCACTCACGTGCTGTGTGGGAGCGCAAATTCTGGGTCCCCATATCCCGCAAATTCGATCTCGCCGCGTACAGCAAACGAAACAATCGTCAACTGTTGGCCAAGAACGCGTTCGAGTCTCTGATTATTTCTGCGTACGAAGAGCTTGGAGCGGAGTTTTTCGTGAAATTGGACTCGCAGAAGCCGCGACACCCAGGCTGGTGGTATCGTGAGCCAGTTGTGGCTCTGTTTTGCCTACAGCAGATGAAGGGCGAGGATGCCATGTGGGAGTACGTTATGAACCAAGAACTTAAACGTTTTCCAGTCTGCAAGGTGCCTCTTCCTCTGACGGCCTCAAATATGGAGGGAATGCGCAAGCGAGAGAGTGCGTCAGTGTGGATTGACAACCCGCGAACTGAGAGGATTCTGTATGAAATAGCTATACTCAAAGCAGAGAACGAGGCAGGAATGGTGAAGGATGATGGCGAATTGGAGAGTGCAGGGACGAATTCAATGGAGGGATTGCGAGGGGGAGCCAAGATTGAGGTTTCTGTGAGGTTGTCATGAGGGCGTATATTTTCGTTGTAGGAAGATGAGGCGATATGTTTATGAAGCAAGTACGATGAAGTGTTGCTTAAAATTTCATGAGTTTTCACAACACCCTTAGAACATATATATATTTACTTTTTGCACGAATTTTCAACCATTTTTGAGCTGTATTTTTGAACTATTTTTTGTTTTTAGAATTGACCGAAGAGGATTTAGAAATTAATGCTGTTCGTAACTAATTTTATGACAGATTTGTAGCCATACGAAGAAAATGAGTGCTGAATCTGGGAGCGCTTCCCAGCCCGTGCTCGAGCCGCTTACCATGCACCAGACACGGTTGCCACGTACGTGGCCCCAGAGCTTCTATTCGCAAAAGCCTATATATTTGGATCTAACGAAATATTAAATTATCACATTCAACTCTTATTGAAAACTGAAAGTTCGCTTTAGCACTTTCGTTCTATGTCAGTAAAAATTGTCAGGAAGTGTTGCGATTATTTTACATGTACATATCTATCGAAAGCAGTACTTATTTATTCACACAGCATACACCAGACAATTCATGTGGCGGCCAGTCAGATTCAACATTGGGGGTTATTTGCGAGGACGACCCAAGCATCGGACACTCCGTGAAAGCCAGACGACGAACAAGCAGCACAACC